TTTACGCTTGATTGAAATTTTTGTTATTCGTTTGGCCATTTTTGCAGCTTTTGTAACAGTTTCGCTAAGAAGTTCCTTGATATCAAATAGAAAAGTTTGCTCACTAACAGAGATGGGAATAATTTTGGTTTCAAGCTCGTTGAGTCCAGAATCAAGCTTCCAGCTCGAGAACTCCACCAAAGCGTATTTTGGTTGTGTTATATACTTAGTATTCTTTGGAAAAATGGTTTCATCGAAATGAATATCATCACAACATTCATCATAAACAAGCTGACGAAATATTCCACGTGTACCATTGGAGAGTCCTAGCTCAGTCGCAATGTTTTCCGTCAGTAAAATGGGCATTCCCGGTACAAGTGGTAAGTATCCAGGTAGGTGCTCTGTCTTGTTATCTGGTAGTTCGAGAATTGCTTTGCGTAATCTGACATCATCAATGGCTGTATTATTTATATAATCTTGAGCAACACAAACAATCGGTCTAAGTCCCATCTTCATTGCTTTATTCAGCACAGCTCTATTGTTTATTTGAGTTCGAAGTGTGTTTCGAAAAACCAGTATAGAAGCCTATCATAAAACATATGTTTAAATGTGAAAACATCTGATCGAACGTACTTCGTTCCATGGATCCTGTTGTAAAGATGCTTTCAAATTTGGAGTTCCAATAATTCGTGTACAAAGAAGCTGATAGTCTTCGATTGTTGATTTCCCATCTCTTAATCTGTGTAAAAGTTCTAAATAGCGTTTATCTTCGGTTCGCATTTGTTGATTCAATTCGACAACACAATTAATTTGGTAGATCACTTTCTGCGCACATTGCATGCCTATTTGACGTTCAGTATATTGCTGAGAAGAGGAACAGCTATGGTATAGAGGCTTATCCAATATCGGAGAATATTGTAGGTAGTCGCCAAAAAAAATCACATTTACCCCACCAAAAGGAGCATCTGTATTGATGTGTTTCACTGTTTTCACTATTCGACTGAGTCGAGCTAAGAGACTAAGTCCTACCATGCTCATCTCATCGATGATTAAGTACTTCACATGACGCCACTCGTTTTCCAACTTTATGTCGTCAGGTCTAAATGTTATTGTTTGTCTCTTTTTAGAATTTTTGCGCGCTTCGCCTAAAAATGAATGGATTGTTAATCCATCAATTTCTGCCGCTGCTATAGATGTGGGTGCTAGTTTGCGCAGCATTTTGCCTCTCTTTGTCATTTGGAAATAATTCGTGATTGCACGAATCAATTGTGATTTTCCAGTACCACCACAACCAGGTACACACATTAGTAACTGGTTGTCAATAGTGTCTGAAATCATTATGGTTAATGATATTTGATAAATCAAAAATCAAAAAAATAAATACCAGTGTGAAATTGGTTATCACCATCTAAGTGACTAGTAACAATCATAAAAGCAAACTTCTGCTGACCATTTAGTGTGAATTTCTTGATAACATCTGATTTGGTTGGGAAAGAAACTGCTGTAGATGCAGTTACAGGTGGTACAACGACAATTTGTGCTTTAAATGGACTTGTAGGTATTTCAGAAGTTACGACTTCAACTTGTACATCATCATCTCGTACTTCCAAAATGTCTTCACCTGAAATTAAATAGCTTCTTGCTTGGTCTCTTCTGATTTCAATGTCACGTTTCCATTCTTTAATCATTCTTGCATGATGAGAATGAGCTATTACAAATGTATTCGAATCATCTACGATATGATGGCCATTCCTGTTCAATATATTTTTGTACTCTAAATAAAACTTAATATAATTAGCATCGAATGGAAATAAACTCACCATTTAGTAATGCAAATCTGTCCGTGTTATCAATTGCTCTCAATGCGTCGCACACATAACGCTGTTCATGAGTACTGAGAGATGCAGAATAAGGTTTAGTGGTAGTCTCGCTTACCAACGAGAGCATTTGTAAGAGTTCTACCGAGTCATCTTCCGAATTATTTTCATCTTCTTCATAGCTATTCAGAATCAGAATAGGATCAATGTTGGTCTTCGTTTGTGCTTCGGCAATAATTTGATGGAGGTGTTCGTCTCGATCATTTTTACATTCATGCAAACGTTGTATATTTTCAATAATCTTGAACGCACTGGCAGAGATCGATGATTTTTGAGCTTCCAGTGCTTCCGCCCATGTCTGATTCAGTGCACACAGGTCGTGTACTGACCTCCATGGCACAAATAAAGTTAGCAATGCACGACAATAACGCTCGTATGTTTCTTCTCGCTCACGACGAGGTATTTGAGGACCAAGAAGAACTGGCACAACTGGAGTAGAGCGTTTAATAATGATATGGGATAATGATTGTGGATGTGCACTTGCAAAGGTGTGTCGTTCATTCATCTTTGTCCCTTCTGTACACAATCGTTCACCTTCACGTCCATTGGTATTCTTTAGTAAACGGCGATCTGATTTGTCGATTACCTTTTTGTGAAAGTGACTAACAAAATCATACAGGCATAATGCAGTTAGATCTTTTGATCGATACTGATAGTCAAGACGAGTATTCACCATGACGTAACTATTACCGTTTTTTGTTTGTGTTGGTTCCAACAGAAACTGTTCTTCAGTTTCCTTGGCCTCTTCTTCTTGATCTTCATCGAAGCGAAGTGACATCTCTACAAAAAACGGATGTTTAATATTTGTACAATCATTTTAAAATTCTTTTACCATCTGGTTCCTCTTCGTCAAATCTTTTTTGATTTCGCTGTGCGTTCACTAGTTCGGTTTGCAGATAGTTTTCAATCGAAATGAGAAAAAGATTTCTAAATGTATGTGTAGTGTAATGGTCACCATAGTTCATTAGGTATGACGCCACTTGAACACCGGAAACTTCTTGATGTGAAGCAATCATATTATAACAGCGTAAAATAAGTTTGCGCGATTTTTCAACAGCGTCGTCTGTCCCGTTTGCCGGTCGCGACTGCTCGATGGATTGGACTCCTTGTTGTGCAAGAGCAAACATATCATAGAAAGCCAGACTTGATTTTGTTCCCTCTGCTGAAAGGAGGGTCATACGCCGAAATGAGGTGGGTTCGTTCGTTCGTTCGTTTGTTCACACCGAACAAAAAAAAATGTTCTTTTGACCTTCTGCAGATTTCTCAGTGAAGTAGCAGAAAGCAATCTACACAATTCGAGCCAATCAGAGGTTTCTCCGATATGAGCTCTTAGTCAATGGGATTTCGCGAAGCCGAAATCGAGCCAATTAGAGGTTTTCTTCTGTAGGCTCTTAGCCAATGGGATTTCGTCGAGATGAAATTGAACCAATCAAAGCTTTTTCGATATGGGCTCTTAGCCAATGGAAATTCGCAGGGGGCGAAAGCGAGCCAATCAGAGGTTTTTCGATATGGGTTCTTAGTCAATGGGACTTCGCGGAGGCGAAATTAAACCAATCAGAGCTTTTTCGATATGGGCTCTTAACCAATGGGATTTCGAGGAGGTGAAATCGAGCCAATCAGCGGTTTTGCGGTATGGGCGCTTAAGCAAGAGGATGTCATCCTGCGGAACTGCAGCAAATCAAGCATTTTGCGATAGGGGCGTGTAGCCAATGGAATGTAGCGAAGCCGGAAGCCAGCGAATGAGCGGTTTTTCGATATAGGCGATTAGCCAACGAGATTTTGCGCAAGGAAAGCTAAGCCAATGAAATGCTTGTGGGTATGGCTCATCAGCGAATGAGATTTTGCGCAACAAAAGCTCCGCCAATCAGAGGTTTTTTTATATGGGCCAACAATCGATGTGATTTTGCGGCGCCAAAATCGGTCGAATGCAAGAATTTCCGAGATGAGCTGTTAGCCAATGGGATTTTGCACAACCGAAATTGAGTCCATCAGGGGTTTCTCATATGGAGCATCGACGAAGTATATTGCGAGGCGACAAAATTGGCGGAATCTTGCATCTTCGGGAGTGGATGGTTGGCAAAGGAAACTTCACGGAGTGGTACTCGAGCCAATCTGGTGTTTTGAAGCTATGGTGTGAGAAAATGAGATTTTGAGGATGTCGATGAACTTACCATGCATTTTTAGATTCAGATTTCTAGAAAACGAATTTTGAAGAGCAACTAGTCAAGATAGTGATGGGTTCTTCGATATTCAATGTTAGTGTAGGAGTTTGTGAGTGCGCGCCATGGAGTGAACGTATCAATTCCACCCGTAAGATGCTTGGTTGTGACTGTCGGAAGTTATTTACCGCGTAGAGTCCAGTCTGTTGAACGTTGTTGATGTATGAAGCTGGGTGTGCGTTATAAATGTGTGTTGTGATAATGAATATGATATGGATGATTTTGAAAGTTAAGGACGATGGCAACATTTCATTTTCTTGTGTGTACATATGTCCCCAACAGTTGATAGAGGTATGGCATTGTAACAAAAGACGGATAGTAGAATGTATTTCAAACTGAAAGTGTGAATTTGAATATGGTTGTAGTACTTATATTGGGCCGGGATGTATCTGTGTTTTCCTGCAAGTTTAATCCTGTGTGAAGGCTAATGCTATTGTGCTACTTGTTTATGGAAGGTTGTTTTTTGAAATGAGGATCAATCTGTCGTCTTCAGTCGTCGATCTCCTTTGTGGGTTAGTTATGAAGGGATCAGTTGAAAGAACACTTCTCAGTGATAAGGTAGGCATAGCAAAGAAAGTTGCCTTAATACTATTCGCCTTTTGTGAAAATCTTAGTGAATTTGTCAGATATCATGCGTGTCAGATTAGGCTTGTATTTTAGTGCATAACTTTCATATGCTGCTGGGTGTACTGATTGAATGCACAAGCGATAATGACTTCGTATCAATGGAGTTCGTTAACATACTTTAAATTTTTCATTCTCTTTTTACTTTTATAGCTTTTATTTAAAATAGGAGTTTGTACAAGTTTTACAAATGATCTATGGATCAGAAGAGTGAATTAAACACATTTCGAGCATGCAAAATAGAGTTTTTGCTTTGAGTTAGATGTTTTTTCGGAAGTCAGAGCACCGTTGAAGTTTTATTTTAAACTGTGAATTGAAAGCGTTTCCGAGTATCTTGTGCTATTCTATCTAATCGTTTAAGTTCTTCTATTTGGACCGTTGATGGTTTAACTTGAAGTATTGCAAATTCAAATGAACGTATAATTAGTAAATCGTCAAGTCTCTTTACACGAGATAATGGAACATAAACCGATGCGAGTTCGATTGGGCCAGGTGGCATCACCAGTTCGACGATAATTTCACCGAGTGTTTGGCCTTGGCTTTTATACGTTGTCATGCTATATGCCGGTATAAGCAGAAGTGCTTTACGTTTGAGCGTGAGTTTTGTTGTTTTCGTGTTTATTTTGGCCGCTTTTGCTACATTTTCTGGAAGAAGTTCTTTGGCGTCAAACAGGAATGTTTGTTCACTAACAGCTATAGAGACTATTTTGGAAGACAGTTGAGCAAGTTTTTCATCAAGTTTGCAATCAGGAAATTCTACTAAAGCATACTTTGGTTGCGTTATAAACTTGGTATTTGGTGGAAAATTCTGATCGTGGTATCGAACATCTTCTGGTGATTCATCGTATACAAATTGACGAAGTATTCCACGTGTACCGTTGGGGAGTCCGATCTCACTAGCGACGTTTTCTGTGAGTAAAACTGGCATTTCTGGTACGAGAGGTAAATACCCTGGAAGATGTTCTGTTTTATTGTTAGGTAGTTCAAGTATTGCTTGACGTAACCGTATATCATCCACAGTTTTTCCTTGAATATAATCTTGAGCAATGTATACAATTGGGGCAAGTCCCATTTCCATTGTTTTGTTTAAGACAGCCCTATTATTAATTTGAGTGCGTAGCGTATTCCGAAAAACCAGTATTGGAGTCTATTAATAGAAAAGTAATGTGATACACAGAGAAAATGAGTATGCATACTTCGTTCCATGGCTTTTGTTGTAGAGATACTTGAAGTTTTGGATTTCCTATAACTCTCGTACGCAGAAGTTGGTAATCTTCTATTGTCGATTGTCCATGTCTTAATCTATTTAAAAACTCCAAATATCTTATGTCTTCGGTTCGCATTTGCTGAGTTAATTCAACAACGCAGTTTATTTCAGACATAAGCTTCTGTGTACACAACATATCTATCTGACGTTCTGTAACTTGCTGTGTCGGTGCGCAGCCATAGTAGAGAGGCTTGTCCAAAACAGGAGAATATTGAAGGTAGTCGCCGAAGAAAATGACATTGACACCACCAAAAGGTACCTCAGAATTTACGTGCTTCGCTGTTTTGACTATTCGATTTAGATGAGCTAAGAGACCTAAAGTCCTACCATGCTCATCTCATCGCTTATCAAGTACTTCACATGACGCCATTCATTTTCTAATTTCATATCACCAGGTCTAAATGTACGGGTTTGTTTCTTTTTAGTGTTTTTGCGACTTTCACCTAAAAATGAATGGATAGTTAATCTGTCAATCTCAGCTGCTGCTATAGACGTTGGCGCCAGTTTACGCAACATCTTGCTCCGCTTGGTTACTTGGAAATACTTGGTAATTGCACGAATCAACTGAGATTTTCCAGTACCACCGCAACCAGGTATGCACATTAATAACTGATTATCGATAGTACCTAAATATTAAGACTAACTAAACCTTACAACAACAAAATCGAGATAACATACCGGTATAAGCAATCATAAAAGCGTATTTTTGCTGTATATTTAGCGTAAATTGTTTGACGATATCTTGTTTTGTGAGAAATAAAACCGCATTGGTTGCAGTCACAGGTGGAGCTGTTGCAACTTTCGTTTTAATTAGGCTTGTTGGAATTTCAATACCCACAATTTCAATCCGTGTTTCATCATCTCGTACTTCCAGAGTATCTTGGCCTAAAATTAAATAGTTTCTTGTTTCATCTCGTCGGGCTTCAATATCACGTTTCCATTCTTTAATCATGGTCGTATAATGCTCGCGAGCTACGACAAATGTGTGGACGTCGTGTATGACACCATAATTATTTTCGCCCAGAGAACGTGTACGGCCTAAATCAAACAAAATATTTTCGGAATATGGCAGTAATTAACTCACGATTGAGTAATGCAAATCTATCTGTATTATCAATTGCTTGTAATGCATCATGAACATAACGTTGTTCGTGAGTAACTGTCAATGCCGAGTAAGTATTTGTGATGATCTCATTTACGATGGAAAGCATTTGCAAAAGCTGTTCAAGATCGTCTTCTTCAGTATTTTGATCTTCTTCATAGGAGTTAGGGATCAGAATAGGATCAATGCTGCTGTCATTTTGTGCTTCTAGAAGAACTTGATGAAGGTGCTCATCTCGATTGTGCTTACATTCGTGCAAAAGTTGTATATTTTCTATAATTTTGAGTGAACTAGAAGAGATCAATGGTTTTCGAACTTCCAGTGCCTCAGACCATGTCTGATTTAGTGCACAAAGATCGTAGACTGATCTCCATGGCACGAATAAAGTTAGCAATGCATGACAATAACGGTCATGCGTTTCTTCTCGTTCGCGATGGGGTATTGGAGAACCAAGCAGAACTGGTACCACTGGAGTGGTACGTTTAATGATGATATGTAATGATCATTGTGGGTGTACACTTTCAAATGTGTGTCGTTCGTTTATTTTTGTTCCTTCGGTATATAATCGTTCGCCTTCATGCCCATTTTCATTCTTTAGTAAACGGCGGTCTGATTTGTTAACAACCTTCTTGGGAAAATGACTGATAAAATCATATAAGCATAATGCAGTTAGATCTTTTGATCAATGCTAATAGTCCAGACGAGTGTTTATCATGACATACCCATCACCGCTTTTGGTTTTTGTTGGCTCTAACAGAAACTGTTCTTCAGTTTCTTTTGTATCTTCACCTTGTTCATCATAGAAGAACGTTAGGATCTCTAGAAAAATTGTTTATTAAATATCTATGTAATCATTTTTAAAACTTTTTACTATCAACTTGCTGCTGCTCAATAGATTTGACTCCTTGCTGCGTAAGGGCAAACATATCATAGAAGGCTAGAGTCGACTCTGTTACATAATCAGTTATATAGTACCCTAAAGCTTTAGCATCGTTACCATTCCAGATGAATTTAATATCCATTTTGGATCGCCAAGCATTTAAGAGCCATTCATTGAAGTTGTCGATCCACGGATGTGATCGATGCATAGTTATCTGACCTATAGAAGGATCGATGTTAGACGTCTTCACGAGCACACGTGACATACGTATTCGACAAGCTTTTGAACCGTTGGACTTGCCTTTCGAGTATTTGTAACACATTGCAGAATGCTCGTGAATATTGCATGCTTCGACTAATCTCACTATATCTTTGCAAAAAATACGATGGAAGTCATCTAACACAGGATTTGACGTTGGTTGGCAGGCCGGTACAACTTTATTCGTTATCGGTCCAGTTTCTTCTAAAATCAAGACAAAAGCAAAATTAAGAATATACCAAAAGCTACAAACTCACAAATTGATTCACTGTTATCGCTTGCTGTACTGGTTCGATTGTCGCTTTCATCTTTATAAAGAATGGTCAAATTTAAAAGTACAAATGATCTAATGCAGTTATTATGGTTACTAAGAATCTGCAATTCGAATTAAACACATTTTGGATTATCGAGAATTAGTTGAAAGCTCAACTCTAGGCTAAAGCAACGATAACGTATTCTCAGGGTATGAAATTTCGTCAAATAGGCAAATGCGAATATTTCAAATCACAAAGTCGAACGGTGCTAAATGTATTACCTCGAAATGGATCTAAATCTTCTTTTACAACATCTTCTAAATATTTTAGTAAATTTTCACGAAAATCTTCGTGTTGAACCTTTTCTTTTAATTGTGCTGGAGTAAACTCATGACTGAGCCAAATTTGAAGGTGTAAAGTGAAGCGAGTCTCTGCCTTGATTCTCGACAGTGCCGAAATATGCTTTTGTAGGACCAAGTACACTACCGAGCACAAGACTTTTCAAGATGCTTTTTATTAAATAGTTAAAGGATTTTGCAGTAGCAGTAGGATGTGTTGCGATAATTTGAGCATATTCATAACTTGTGTCCAACACTTCTGGCAGAACTTTATCAAGATCTATATCAACACCTGCAAAATAAAGTGCTACTGGACTATGTACGTGGGCTGGATTGATTGATAGGAAGAGAGTTGGAAGACCAAGATTAAAACACAAAGAATGAATTTTCGTACGAAGAGTCGGCCGTGAATAAACTGAATCCATAACATGACCACCAACCACTTTGATATGCTTCATGAGCGTATTTATTCTTTCACCGATAACTTTTGAATAAGGCGCTTTTGGAATGTTAACAAGGGCCGTTGTTACATCTTCAGAACTCAATAATTCAAGAAGTTGTGCGGATTGCTGAAAGTACAGCCTTGATGTCATTAATTGGGCATGGAAGCACGCGATTTAGCGTTGTAAAATATTGAAGACAACAAATATGAATGAGTAGTGTTCTTCAAAACGATGATCTCCGTACGAAACTAGATATCTGAGATGCTCACGAAAATTAATTTGGACTGGTCGAGAGTAAGCTTCAAGTGTATCACATCCATATGGAAAACATATAGGAAAGATACCCAAAAAAAGATTTGGATTAGAATATTCATTGGCCGGTTTGTTACCACGAGGAATTATGTACACAGTATCTTGTTCATCGTTTTCCTTGATGTCTTTTTCCAGCGTTTTATCACCCATTTGTACCTTTATTCATTCTAAAAGATGTTCAACAACGTCATCAGACGAAATTTTGGTACCGTTAACATGCAAGATAGCACTACAACACAAACAATGTTAGATACAAATATCAATGCCTTTTTGCTTTACCTCGCAATTATTGGTATAGCTGTTGTAGTGTTGGACTGAGATGCATTGATCAGAGGGTTAAAACTATAAGTTATCCTTCGTTTTCAACCGCTTCTACCTTAGCGGAAATTTCCATTGTTGCCCAGAAATACTCCGGGACATCATTCTCAAGTAATTTATTGATTGTTGATTGATTAATTGTAACATATCGATGAAGTAGATTGTTTGAACTAAGTCATTTAAGTGCATCAGAAACCTTTGTTTTTCGAACAGTCAAAATGTTTTTTAGTTGACTTCTTTGTGGAGTGTGACAACTAACAAAAATAATTTTTAGAGAATCACACAGATCATCTAATTCTAATGGCAGAGTAGTAGCTATGTTAATAACATCTTGAAGAAAGCTTATGCAGTTGCCTTTTAAAGTTGATTGAGCTGTGCTTGTCGAATGAAAAGACGAATATAATTTAACAATGCAGCTGTTATGTTGGTAGAGAGCAATAAGTGTTTGCTCAGGAATGGTTAGTCCTTGTAATTGCTGTGGCACATCCCCCATTCATACTTTATTGGCAGCTGAAAACTTGCGTATTTTTGCTTTCAGCACGGACTACCAACATTTTGTACAAATGTCGCAGTATACCGAAGATTGTCTCGTTTTATCAAAAGTTTTATGATATCCTGCTTTATAGAGAAATATACTGTTTACCCAAGTAAATGATTGATCAACCATTGATGATTTTATATTCCTATCTATAATAAAAAAAAACCTGATTAATCTTGCTAGTCTAAGTGTTACAATGATCCAGCTGCTTCTCTTTCGTCTCGACCGAAAGCTAAACCAAGATCGTCATTATTGTTAAACTTATCTTTTGAATGGAACTTGCTCATTCGTTGCATTATAGAAATTATGTCATAAAAATCATTATGTACTCTAATCAATTCAATCGATGGAATTTCGCACAATGGTATGTGTCAGAGGTTACTTTTATAGCAACGAACATTGCAAATGCCACAAACATTCCCTGCTAGAGAACTCATTGACATATGTCGACTGAAATTTTTTGAGCAGTTAATCATGCATTCCATTTCAATAAGTTTCGGTTATTCAGTGTTGCTACTTTTATGATTTTGTTTCTATCTGTAACCGTTTGTGCTTACACATTTTTCTGAAGACGTTTTCTCTTACGAGCCACTGCTTGCTGTTGCTCGACTTTCTTCCGGTGCATAAGCAGCGCGTATTTCAGTACTTCTCGTGCGAGCTAGTACACGCACTTTTTCAGTTTCTTTTGGTGATATAGTAGCTCGTTTAGTCATACTCCTCCCAAGAGCAAGTGCTTGCTATTGTTCGATTTCTTACACTGTAAACGTAGTTCGCCAAGCTGCAGTTTTCTCATCTCACCAATTAATACTCGTGATTGTTTGATTTCCTCTATTGGGGATGTGGGTATTAATTGCAATACCCACACTCACGCCCTTCATTTCTTGTTGATGAATACCAGTATTTTAATTGAAAATCATACATTGAATTTAATTTTTAAACAAATTCATTGCATTTTTTAATCAATATGTCAATTTTAATCAATAAATTTGAAAAAGCATCAATTTTATGTTCACTTCATCATGAAAAATACCATTTTTCATGCTTTTTGCATAGATTTCAAGATTTTAATGAATATGTTTTTATTTTGGAGTTACTTGATCTACACGAAAAGAGTAATTATAGAGATACATGGTGTTCTAAAAAGCATAGTTTACTAGTACACTCTATTTCAAATTCTCATTGAACACATCGAATGACACTCTAATTTAAGAACTCTCATTCTGATAAGATCATTTGAAGCTTCATAGGATTTTGTCACGATTATACGCAGCCCACGGGATAGGATAGGGCAGATTTTGTTGACTCATTAGACAAAAAATTAATTCCATCCAATGTCATTCTTAGTCTGACATAGAAACTACAGGATGAACAAGATTTTCGCTGTATAACTGCATTAAGAACAACCAATCGAGACCAGACTAGTGCTGGCAAATAGGTTTAGCCCTGACTCATATATTTCTAAAACATCAGTCCGCTGTTATCTATTTTTATGCTTGTTCAAGGAAGATACCTTCTTTTGTTGAGCGCTGTAGTGATCTAGCGAAATGGATAGTAACTTATACTTTATAATCAAATCAACGTACTTGACGTTCTGCTAGTTAAGAATTTTCTCTCTTGATTAGATCTTTTCAATAGGTGAGATACATTCGCACATATAGTAGGAAGAATCTAAATTCATTAGTGCCAAATAGTATTGTCTCATGATCGCTCGCTAAATTACACATAAAACGAAAAATAAACGTTGGATAGTTAGCATTACCAAGCTGTT